TATGTATGTATGTATGTATGTATGTATGTATATCTTTCTTCCAATTTACGTCATTTTTGAGAAGGAAAAATGGACTTAAATGTCCACACCATTTTGACGGCTAGATGACGAAAACCGTGGTAAATAAAAGGACATACCATGGAAAACTGGAGGAAATTGGTTAGACATACCAAAGATGTTTTASTCAAATGCCCCGAGGGAAAAAAGAAAGAGGAACAAAGGGTGGCAACATTACTCATATGGGGAAAGACATTACATTAGGGAATTTAAAATGTTTGAACGAGAGAACTTGAAGAGAAAAGTGGGTGCTACATCTGCAAATGGTTAGACCTTCACGTGCCTCAGTTGAGCTCTTGAAATGGCGGTTCCATCCCTAATCAACTAGAAACGTTAAAAGAAGACCACGAGTTTATCAGTTGCATTAGTGTCAAGAGTTATCCTCTCTATGAACAAAGTCGATTTACGCATTCTTATTTATTTTTATTTACCAAATCTTACCGAATATTCAAAACATATATGATTTTGTGAAGAATATTCACGTTTTCCAGTCAAGGTCCGTCAAGTTTCAAGTGTCCAGATTGTTGAACTTGTGCATCTTTACTTTACCGTTGGTATTTGCGAGTAATTAGACACTGATTCGAGGCTTAGCCTGAGCAAATGAGTCTGTAATCAAGAAACACAGCGGTAATTTGGAACTCTAAAAGGGTCTATTTTGAACAATTTCAAACCCACTCTTTTAAATGTATTCCAAAATTACACTCGCAACCATATAATTTCCTATCATTTGTTTAATTTTCTCGGAGAAAAAAAGCAAACATCCGAGCTCCAGGTGCATGGGGTATAGTTATCATCAGTGTTGCTCCTTAGGTTCACATGCTATGAAAACAGCAGTAATTGGACTGTGCTGAGTGCATTTGGCCAGTACAGTATACTGCTAGTTATGATTGATTATATTTCAATATAATTCGATTGTATGCAGTGTATGAAGTATAATGTACTTAAGACAAATCTGCATAAATCATACGGCACTTTTATTTTGCAATCATGCATCCTTTTCCACAATCGCTTTATGATTTCAGACCAAATGCACACCACTCAGYCCGATTACTTCTGTTTTCATAGCATGTGAGCCTAAGGAGCATGATGATATATCATTGCAATATGAAATTAAAGTCCCATTCATTATATTATAGAGCACATGCAGGGACTAGCTTGTTTATACAGTGCCATCCACAGGCAAGGAGTTAGTGTAACATACATTTAGTATATTGTACGCAAGAACATTGCTTGGGTTGCCTGTGTGCTTTCCAGTTATTTTGTAGCTGATGACGTCTCGTTTGGCGGCGTATTCTTCAAAATTGGTTCATTGGCGACAAGAATGGAACAGAAGAAACCCTTTGTGAGTATGACTGACTAATATTGGTTATAACGAGGAATATATTTTAAAGCTATTCAGTATTAGATCTTTGGCCATACCATGAAACTGTTTTCAAAACTTACCAGGCACGTTTGAAGTGAGGTATGTTTGCCGTTTCCTGCCCTGTGTAAATTTCAGTACAGGGGAACGATCGGACGAATACATAACGCATAACATATTACATAAATTTAATGAACAAAGCGGATTATTTTGAAATATTTATATTTCGCAAACATCACCAGAAACTATATTTTTGCAAAGCTGGAAATCACTCGATGATTCGAAATCATAACGAACAATTTTTTGTGATGCACCTGAGTGGTTGCACGCACCTGAATTGCTCAATKGTTTTAGTTCATTTTTTAACTGTATTTTATCGTTTTATTTGTGTTTTTTTACTGGCACCTGTACGTTTATTATGTTGTTCATCGAGCCTATGGATTCTTGGAGTCATTTTGGATGTTTTACTACAACTTCTGCTCTGAAACCTATATCATTTAATTTATTTAATGAAGTTTAAGTTTTAGATCTTATATCATAATATAAATATTTATATAAGTTATTTATTTATTTCATGCACGACCCCACAAGCTTTAAGCTTTAAACATTATCATGTAGTATTTAAAAAACGAGTAGGAGTGTTTTATCAGGTATAAAACAACGAGGCGTAGCCAAGTGGTATTAGACCTGATAAAACACGATTTACGAGTTTTTTAATTGGCTTCAATAACTCATGAACAATTTATAAAATTCAACTGGAGCCACCATACACGTCACGAGCTTTAAGCTTTGAACATTATCATGGATAAATATAGGTATTCTATTCTATTCTTTTCTATAAGTACTGGATAATCGATACTCCCATTGTTATTCTTCAACATACAAGGCAATCAACCAGCACAAGCTCCTACCAAAACTTTAATTTATCTGAGGTCTACACATATATCAAGATCAGTAATGATAAAAAGGTAAATTAT